AGAAGCGCCCGGCCCATTTGGGAGGAGGCCGAAAAGTCCGCGGGCGAAAAAAGTTCGCGGGGGCAAAATGTTTGCGCGGAAAAAAGTTCGCGCAGTTGCTCGAGCGCGAAATGCGCGAACTTTTTTCCCGCGCGAACTTTTTTACTTATATAGTATAAGGCAAGGAGGTAGCCGTTAGCTTCCTGTTTGCCCAAACAAAGTGGAGTCCATAATTTGTTTGTTGAAGTTGTGCAAGACATTTTAGGCACCTTATCCAACACTTATGCACATGTTTCATCATCATCATCATCATCATCTACGGATGTGGCTTTGTTCATTGCGGGCATTAAGCCCACTGACATTTACATCTGACAAAAGCTCCTAGACTTCTACCTCAGGGAGCTTTCTTACTCGCACGATTTGCAACAACTCTTCTCCCTTGAACAACACTCCCACCCCGATTGATATCCTACAGTCGGAGCTCTGCTATATCGCGCGCAAGTCCTATATTACTCCCGAAAGCCTTTGCAAGGTGGAGACCTCTCGATGGTGGTACAAAGACCCGGCTGAACCTGAGTGGCTTCCCAAGCCTCACTTTCTCGATCGAGACATGGCGGTTACCTTTGTGAAGGAACAACGTCTCACATCCGATCCGCAAGATCTTTGGATTTTCACGGATGGCTCACTCATTCAAGAACATTGTGGATCGGCTGCTCTCATATATTGAGGACCCTCTATCACACCCCAAATATATGGCATACACTTTCATGGCTTCCATTCAAGCACACAAACAGAACTCCGTGCCATGGAATTGGGATGTGAGAATGCTTCCATTGGAACAACATGCAAGTGTGCCCCGATCGTCTATGATTCACAGGGTGCCCTCCTTGCTACTCAAAAACGTCTGGGAGGTTCAGTGCTTTCTGTGCGTGCCCGCAAAGCGCTTTGACGCTTGTCCACTCACGTCATAGCAATTCGCCTTTTATGGGTACCGGGATATGCAGATTTACCAGAAAACGAGCGGGCAGATTTGATAGCCAAGGCGGCAGCATTGGGCTCCTCTCCATTAGCCCAGAGTTCCGAGACTACCCTCATATCCCACCCTTATCCGCTCGTCACTGATGTCCCGCATTCCCGAACCTCCCTAAAACGTATTCTCCATCACCGCTACGCTTGTCGTTTTGAAACCCAATACACCAACACTCGCCACTACCACGACAAGCTCCAATTAATTTCTAATGGGGCACTTTCCTGTGAATGCCTACCTCTTTCGCTTTCAGCTTCGAGATAATCTCAGTTGTTCCTTTTGTGAGAGTGACTATTGTGATCGTTCTCACATCCTTTTCTCCTGCCCTAAATTTGAACATTTGCGGCAGCAACTCGCTAACGACATATTGGATCACTACTCCGGATGCGGTTTGTGGTCATGGGATTTCTTGTCCTCACCACCGGATCGTCCCTATCTCGCGCGCTTCCTGATTCGTGCTCATCGTGCTCTGATGGCCATCCACTAACGATTTTCTTTTGACATCGCAGAGGGATAGTTTGGGTGCTGACTTCATGACTCCAGAGTGGGCTTATCGGGAATTCTCTAGCACCACTTCCCATGGGTGCTAGTGACAACACTGCATTCTGGGCTCGTTTGACTGACATTCTAGATCCTACGGGGCTTTACGTTTCTCTAAAAGGACTCAAGAACATCTGGACTTGTGGAATATTGGGATATGGGAGCTTTTGGGAACTTTGGGATTCTGGGTTCTGGGGATATTGGGACATTGGATACATTCCTGCTTACGCTACATTCTGACACTAGACACAACATTCTGATGACTCTATTGCTCCCAGTCAGCAGCCACCTCTACACATGAATCTCTCTCTACATGGACATCTCTTTCCTTTGCTTCTGACCTACATCGCCGAAAGGTTGCACAGGCTGTTGACATTATGTTTATGTTGCTGGGAGCAGAGTTGGGTTTTGTGAACGCTATGCAACTAAGGAATTCATCATCATCATCATCATCATCGCCATCACCGTGCCACCACACTTCTCAAACGTTGACTAGGAAGGAAACTACCATAATGGTTTAGTTTCTAATTGGGCACTTTCCTGTGAATGCCTACCTCTTATTTTCACCTTCCAAACGACCCTAGCTATTCCTTTTGTGATAGCAACTATTGCGGCCATTCTCACACCCTCTTCTCCTATTCCAAATTTGAGCACTTGGGGTAGCAACTCATTAATAATATTTTGGATCGCTCCTTTGGATATGGTTCGTGGTCGTGGGACTTCTTGTCCTCACCACCAAGTCGTCCCTATCTCTCCCTAACTCTCCTTATCATGCTCTGTTGGGCATCCATTGAGGCTTTTGTTTTGATATCATAGATGCATTGTTCGGGTGTTGATTTCATGAATCCAGAGTGGGCTCATCGAGGATTTCTAGCACCACTTCCCAGAGGCGCTAATCGGCATGGGGTTGCATGGTCAATGAGGCTAATGACGACATTGCATTCTAGGCTTATCTGATTGACATTCTGTGGCGTTTGGGGTTTTACATTTCTCTATTAGGAATATTGCTTTTTCGGACTCAAGGACATCTGGACTTGTGAAGCATTAGGACATCGGAGCTCTCAGAACTTTGGGATTCTGGGCTTTTGGGATATTGGGACATCAGATACATTCCTGCTGACGCAACATTCTGACAGTAGACACTACATTCTGATGGCTCCATTGCTCCCAGTCAGCAGCCACCTCTGTATGTGAACCTCTCTTTATGTGGAAATCTCTCTATTTTGCTTCTGACGTACATTGCAGAAAGGTGGCACAGGCTGTCGATATCATGTTTATGCTACTTAGAGCAGAATCGGTTTTGGTGAACGCTATGTAATTAAGGAATTCATCATCATCATGTCAAGTTGGCGAAAGCTATGTAATTATGGAATTCTTCATCATCATCATCAAGGCTTCTTACATATCAAGTGGGGGATGTAGCTAGCAGCTCCCTATTTCGCCCTGGCAAAAAGGATTGTCTATCATGTTTTCCATGCGAACTCAAAGTGTTGCTACCATCCAACCACAGTGCTGTCATGCGTCAGAAGGCACAAACCTCATAAGTTCAGTATCATCAACCAACTCAACCCATTGTTTGCAATTTCCAAGCATAGGGACTCCTGAAACACCATCAAGATCAAGGGAATCAATGCTGTCCAAATTGGACAGAATTGAATTCGTTCCCTGAAATTCCCATCCATAGAATCAGTGTTTCTATTAACAAGTCTTCAAGTTAAGCTCAGGAATTGCTATCAAATCGCTGAGTGAGGCTCATGTAACTTTGTGCATTGTTCCAAAATGTTTCATTCTGAGTGGAAGTAGATTTTCTGCCAGCTTGATATGTGCCATATTGACATGCAAGATACTAAAACCGCGATTCGTTGTGGGGGTTCATTTCCTGGAGGTTGGGCAGTATCAACACCAAGCACACCAATCTATTCCAGAATATTCAACGAGTTTGAGTCAATTATGTCTGTCAGCTCGACAAGATAAGACACGTTTTCTCTTCCACTCCAATGCCAACGCTGACAATCGTCGAAGCCAATCAAGTCTGTTTCGACTCGCACCGCAAAAGCACTTTTGGCTTTGGTACCCGCTCACCAACCGGCGAGGACTCTTGTTTCCATGTACTATCATCGACAAACGCTACTTGCAAGAAGCGTTTTACCAATTGGTAATAGGAATTGATGGATTCCTATTATAGAATTGAATGGAACTGAATTGATGGGTCCCTATTACCAATTGGTAACAGGGATTGATGGATTCCTGGGCTTTGCTTGTGTTATACTTGAAGTACATTAGATTTCAATGAACTGATCATGGACACTGCTTGGGCTCGGTCAGCACTGGCAATTGACGGCCACCTCACTGCCTTGTTCTGTATAATTGGATGGTTATGGAACCTGATCATTGCACATATCTGATCATCACGAGCACTCTCGGAAGATGAAGTACATTTTTCTTTCATCACCATCATCATTCTTACATAACAAGGCAATGAGGTAGCTGTCAACTTCTTATTTTGCCCGAGCATATCCCTTTTCACTGCCATGCCTATGAGGGTATATGTAACAGCCAACCAATGGATTGGAAGGTCGATGATTGCAGATCAACTGACTGCAAAGTCGAGCCAACCATTGACTTGCAAGTTGTTTTTCACATTCCAGTGCAAAAACCCATCTAGGTTCCGTCCCTGCTCCTCAACTGGCGAACACGCTTCTGATAATAACGGCACCACTTCATGCAGCAACACCCTTTCGAATGGCGCTGTCAGGCACAGTGGATACATGGTCAAAGCACCATTGAGACCATTGATTGTTTAGGGCCACTCCACCCACATGAACAGCAGCTGTCAACTTTCACATTTGCGACAGGCTTGTTTACATGTCTCACCATCAATGCTCTTCGTTTGCTCTTGCACCGGTTTTTTAAAGCCAGCCTGTGCTTGTTGGGACAGAAAGGCACGAAGGCGACAGAATAAGAATCTAAGTACTGGGTGCTGCTTATCTAGCGAAAGTGATGAACTGCGTTGCATCCACTCTGGCAATGTCTGGTTGTGCTTGCACATGGGCGACAGAAACCATGACGCACTGAGAGTGAACAGCCGTGCAATACGTCAGCCTCATGGATGGGTTGGATAGAGTCTGCCAGATGTTGGAGACTTGAGCTCATTTCACGCAACGAGTCTCAGAGTAGTACAAGGAGATGTTGATGAAGAAATCGACACTAATTTATGGTAAAATGACAACATCCGCAAGGTCCCTGACATGAATCAAACTTGACAATCTATCTGTGGCTAAATCACCTCTCCCCTGAGTCGGATTGGCGCCAGGAACAAGTTGCCCAACGGCAATATTGACGGAAATTTGCAGTGCCCCAAGAACATCACAACATAAGGATTGCACACTGCTTGGTGCTGACCCTAGCCCGTCCACAGCTGTGTTCCAACGTGCCTCCAAGCAAAAGACCCACACTATGAAGGGAATGCAAAAGGGTTTGCTTTTCCATCCCCTGGGCCGAGGGATGAATGGCGTAACGCCTTCTGCGTGGCTGCTCTTGGCAGGGATGGGTGGCGGTCTCCTGCTGTGAATCGTCGGTGGCCACCTGCCAAATGCAGTCACACGAACAATCAGCATGGATCCAACATTCATGCTGAACTTGCATATTATACATATGCCAAGCGTTCCACCACACTTGCAGAGCACTGTACCCGGCACTGCCACAGCATCACACATATCTTTACGCACAGAATATGAGTTCAGCAGACCCTCACCAGGACACTGACCTGTTGAAGTCTTAATGCGATCAATCGATTCTCCAAAGCCAGAATTCTGCCGAATAAAAGATGGACACTGGTGTTCAGCAAGCTCCTGTGGCATGGCGTCAAGTGTGTGAAGGGCCTCAGAGAGAGCTCGCACTGCAGCCTGGCAGTTCTGCCGCTTCTTCATCACATCTTCACGCTCACTCACAAGTTCATCAAATAACTCCTCCCTACGGACACACAGGAAGCCGGATGGGAACTGCAGGTGCACAACGTACCATACATGGAAGGCAGCACACTATAAAGTTTAAGGATACACATCTGCTGAACACATTGCAGGACTTCAGTGCCTGTCCACAGTTTTCTTGACAGAACCACATGACAAAGTCATTTTGAAAGGTTATACACAACCAGAAATGGACAAATGTGCAGCCATACACTGACTTACTTGTACAATTTCCCAATAAGGTGTTGCTGCAGACCCTTCCGTGATCGATGGACCAGATAATGCATGATAATCTTTGGAACCATGTCGGTTATGTTGCCCTGCACTAGGTTCATGTAGTTGTCAACGAGCTTCCTTGTGATGTCAACAGCGATGTCGATCTGTCGATGCGTCTCTGAGTTTTCATCAGGCATCGAAGTAGGTGAAGATGACGATGCTGGCGGATCCACAGACCCGCTGCTGGCGGGATACTGTGGCACTTCAGGCCGGCCTGTAAACAGCGAACTGAACCAACCACCCCCTGGTGTCCCATCATTGTTGAATTCTGTCCGGCCACCAGATTGAGTCTGGGACGCTTGTGATAAACTGCCACTGCTATCACTGATGCCCTGCAAGGCATGACAGAACAAGAGCATCTTCAGCAATCCGGTAGTTCAAAAACAGCACAACTCAAAACAATTTCAAGCATGAGGGGACACATCTTCTGCCGCAAATTACCAGACCTGGTGCATTGGAGTCCTTTCCATTTCGTGGCAGACAATTAGAGCGCATTTGTAGAAGGTAATCAACATCAACGCCACTATTCATGTCAACAATTCCCATTTTGACAACAGAAATGGATTTCGTGCACCAAGGCAGACAGGCATCGATTCACATGCACATTGATGGGGAGCAGGCCCCCTGGCCAGGAATTCATATTCATCAGTCAGGCAAATTGGCATCATTCCTTTCACATTGTGCTGGCTGTACCAAAACTCTGTGCCTGTGCTCGATACGTCAATAATACCAGTATGTTAGCACAATCACTGGCACATTCTTTCCATTGCCAATATTTGGTGGCTATGAGTAACACATGGATTTTGCTACAAATTTGCAGCGGAACAGCCTTCTTTGAACATCTTCCATTCAGCATTTCTTTCTCGCAGGGTGGGATTAGCGTGGTCAATCATCAGCACCCTGCACACAGCATGCAGTAGTGCCAAAAATTAAGCATTGCATATTGTTGCACACTGAGGAAGGCCCTGGCAGCATTGATGGCGCATCCAATAAGTTTCTTCTTCTGAAACTGGATGTCACAAAGCCTTCCACCTGTTCCCCACAAAAAGCTCACCTTCAGTCCAACCATGGCACTGCTGCCAGCTGTTTCCACTCTGGGGCCTCTCACATTGCGGATGACAGTTGGTTGGGGACGATTGTCAGTGTTGCCCTGCTGATTCCGTAGGCCCTGGTCAAGGGCAGCATCTGCCTGCTGCTTGGCTGAATCTATTTTCTTTCCAGAACGCATTTTCTTGTCTGCAAGAACTGCAGCAACTGCACTTTTCCCCCCAATGAAGTCAGGGTGATCGTAGTTGATGTAGCCATGTTCACAGTCAATCAGGCTACGAATCATTTGGTCAGCAGGCTCCCCACCTGCGCGAATGTACTCCCCAACTGCTATAGACAGGCCACGCTGAAGCGCAGAAAATCGGGAAAGCTCTGTAGAAACACACGCAGAATGAAACTTGAGCGCACGGCATTTGTCTGCTGCAGCACAAAACAATGGATGCAACATATAAGCAAGAACGCAGCCAGTCATACCAGCGTTTTGGCACAACACCTGCCTACTGCTGCCTTGAGACTGATGATAAGAAGCAATAGGCAACAGCAACTGCACCAAAACGCACCTTGTGGGGCACAGTCTGCTGCCAATCTGAGCAGTTCATTCTGTACAGCATCTTTGCAGCGCAGGGCAGGTTCCAGCAGGCGTTTTATGGACCTGCGCACCAAAATCTCGAAGGGCTCCTGGGGGATCAGGAGTGAGCCAGACACCCCGGAGCTGTTCCTGATGGTGGTGCGGATGAGTTCTGAGGACAGGTCGGCCCTCCATTCTAACTCCGTCAACTGTCTCACAAATTGATTCTGGAAAATGTCACGGATTTTGGCACCACCTGCCAAACCTGCAAGCACGTTTTCACTCCGTCCATCCAACATGGATGCGAAACGTTGACAATACTCGCTCAACAAACCCAAGAGCATGGCACCCCTGCAATAGGAACACAGAAAACGGTTTTTCCAAGCACTCTGTACTAATGCCTGTTGAGCTTCGATGAGGGCAGACTGTCTTGTGCACTACCGATGGCTGCCAAGTGAAGGATGCGATGGTCTGCCAGCAACAAGCAAGTACAGGATAACTACACCACTTCTGTCGCCAATGTTACCTTGCTGTCGCCGAATCTGTAGGTGGTGCATCGCCATAGTCCCTGAGTTCTGCTGTTCTCTTCTCCTTTTCACGTGCAATCTCCCTCCTCAGTCCAGGAAGAATGGTTTGAATGTGGGCCACCAATATGCTGTTCAGCCTCTGTGCAAGTTGAGGCACACCAGTCTGGGTTGAAACCTCTCGATATTCCAAATGGCTGTGGAAGAAGTCCTCCTCATTTCTGCGGGCAGCAGACATGGCCTTCTTTTTGTTGATGTCTTCCTGACTCCGGTTGACAACAGCCACATAACCCAAGCGTAAAGGCACCACCTGATTCTTCAGCATCGCAACTGCATTTGTACCGCGATCCATGATGTCCACCTTTGTCAACACACCTGCAGCCACAAGTATGCGTCTTGGATGGCTAGCAGTGTTGCAGGCAGAAATTTTTGTGAAGCGCTTCATCCCCTGACCAACAAGGTGACTCGACTGTCCAGGGCTGCTCCGCAGAGCTGATGTGCGATCCCTCCTTACACAGATGTCGGGAGACGAAAATAAAATCTTCGCCGAACAAAGGCAGGCAGTCAAGGACAACCAAACCAACTTTGGGCTGATGCTGTCCTTTGCAGATTGTAGGGCTTGCACAAAAAGCCATACCTATGGTCCTCACGCCCTCAGGATCCACCGATTGTGCCATGCTCAGGGCATCAGAATTCGCCAAGTCCACATTTGCAGCTGTCACAGCCAAAATGATGCAGGTTGGATGACGCACGAATTCCAGAATCATCTCGCGGATGCGACTCTCGATGTCAGTTGGTTGATCCCCCACAGGGACACGTGTGATGCCAGGCAGATCCACAACAGTCATGGTCCTATATGCCAAAACCCAACGCACACACTCACGAATGGAAGGGGTGTGCAGGAGTTGTGTCCAATGGCCACCCAGTCAGCAGAAATATGCACTGATCAATGCAACCAGCGCTGTGATATCAGCTGCCCTAGCTGGGCTCCCACTCAATGCATGTATATTGACAAGTGGGATCGGCAGATGAGCAAGTTTCCACAACCTAAACAATCTGTTGCCTCCGTCCACTTTGGTAGTCAGTACACAATAATTCCGTGGAATGTGCAATCAGATCCTTTGCAACAGCACAAAAAGAATAATCCAAATATTTGGAACTTGCAGGGTGTTCCTGGAAACGCACAGGACATCAGGGCTGCAGATCTTGAGGCGTATGGGCTTGTCAGACACGCCTTTGCTTCCTCCCACCACTCTGTCAGTCTCAGCAGCGATCTCATCTCTTATGCATTCAAAGTCATAGAATTTCTTTCCCTTAACGTGCAGGAATTCTCCCCATTCGGTTCCCTTTTCTCCCGACTTGTCGTTGGTCTTCACCAATTGCAGAACAAGCGGCCTTCGTGTGCAGATGTCTGGACCACGCGGAAGGAAGTCACGCCCCACCTACGTTCACAACGGACGAATGCAACTGGACTAGATGCGACAAGCGAAAACGTCAACCACAACTGTGACGTCTGTTCAATGGACGACAAAGTTCGAAAGCCACGAGATAGAGATATCTTGGTGCATGCGATTGCGCGATGCGCTGCTTTTCAGCACAGATGTGCACAGCCGATCCGACATCTTGAAGCGACTGATTCGGTTTCAAATAAATCTTTCTGGCACAGTGTCAGGGTAATCGTGTCCACAGTGCTGTTGGGGAATAGGGCCAGCCCATCCTTCATATTTCGCGATGACGAATCTGTACATCCTGAGGGAAGGGCAAAACGACCTCCCCGTCGACTCTGGGCTGCTCACCAAGGCCTCCAGCACACTTGACTTGCCGCTGCTCTGACTGCCAACAACTGCAATCTGGGGCAAGTCAAGTTTGAAGTCCAGCGTCGCCTGCAATGCCCGTCTTTCTGTTAGTGCAGTGCCAAAAGGACATCTCGCATGGCCCAGGAACATTCCCACTCTCCTCCCCGACGGTGAAGCATCGGCGGTTGCGACCATCCAACGTGCCCCCAGATCCCAGATTGCCCCACCACACCTGGCTGAATATGTCCTGCAATTTGTTTATGATTGGAATCAAGCCTTCTCCCAGCGTCTGTGACGACATGTTCCCCAATCGAGCGCCGTGACCCGGTTTCAAATGGGCAACGTCTTCTGACTCGTGGCCGCGCCCCCTTGGCGCGCCAGCAGGTGCCCCAGGCGCTGGCCTTCCCAACGCAGGACTGGGTGCCGCCCAGTGGGCAGCAAAAAGGGAGCTTTCGGACGCCCCTGACCCTCACCCTCACGCGGGCCCATCTTGTCGAGCGCGGCAGTGCCCGCCCGGTGTATTACGTAATGCCGTGACTACCGTAGTTTTTTAAACCCTTCCGCATAGTAACGTAACGCTGGGCCCTTTTTCGCGGAGTCGATGAATATAAAAGTAACGGTGCCGGAGCGAGATGCGGAGCAGCCGAATTTAGTAACGGCCGGGGAGCGGCTTCAGAACGGGGTTGGCCCCGGCACCTGGCAGGCCACTGAGCGGTCGGCCGGCGCCCGCCGCTTGCCTACCGGGCGAGTCGGGCCTCGAACCGCGGGAAGCGATCGCAGGCATATGCCTGCGCCATCGCGGATCGACCCGGGCAGCCGATCGCGTCGCACGGCCCGCGGCCGACTGGACACGCGAAAGCCCACGGTGGGCGGCCCACCCCTCCTTGCGCCATCCTCTCCGCGCTCCCCGCCATCCGGCAGGCTCATGGGCGACCGATCGGCAGGCAGGCCCCCGCTGCTTGCCATCCGGGCGGCGGGGAGAGTGGGCGCTGACGCCGAAGGTGCCAATACGGAATGGCACAGGTGGGGAGTGGGGGCGGTCGGCGGGCGCGCGCCCGTTGACCAACGGCCGGCCAGGGGGTGCGGCGCCCGCAGGGGGGCGCGGCGCCCGGGGAACAGACAACGCCATTGACGCCACGCAGCCACACTGTGTCGCTCCACCCAAGAGCGCATGTTCCATGGCACTCGACGCCCACTGTCCAGCCGCGCCTGTCCTCGCAAGTCACTAGGACTCTTGGGAAGCGTCCCCAGAGCTGGGTGGTTGGTGTCGTACGGTGCATGCACGTACGAGGCTTGGGGCTCGTCCGTTGCACCTGAAACTTGGTATACAGGCTCTACAGCCC